ATCATGATGCCCTGCTTAATGTGTAGGCAGCATGTTAAAGCCAAAACTTAAGTGAAGACACGGGCTCAACTGTTATTTATAGTATAAGAATATGTTATGGCAAAACACGAAAGTGGCTTGAAGATCTAGAGCTACCAGAGCCCAAAATAACAGGGCCGGCCGATGACAACAAAGATGTGGTCACCTATTAGAATAGTAGCAAGACTGACGTCTAGGGCATTAAGGGAGGTAATGGTTTTGTTTAGTTTGCAGAACGTATACATCTTCCAAAACTCTGGTCTGAAAACGTCTTAAAGTTTCTTTATGACCCAGAGAATAGTTTAAATGAAAACGACAAAGTAGTGGTTGCAGGAATTTTCAACGCAGTTGCCATCGACTCCGTATTAATATATACACCATGCTAAAAGAAACGTTTCTTTTTAAATGGTTGGTTAGAAGGGACCTCCACTTAATCAGTGACGAACTTAATCCCATTTTCTATATAAGGGGACAGGATATTTACGGATTCTTGACGGATTAACTACCAGAGAGAACTGGAAAATGGCATTTCCCATATGAGCTAGAGAGCCCAGAAATCTCACAAACCTAATATATACGTAGCTGAGGTGAGACGGGCAACGAATTAAAACGAAGTTTTCATTGAACAAAAAGAGCCATAGGGTGCTGAATAAGAAGATACTAAAGAACGCAATCGGCGGAGCTGCCGAACGTTGTGAAGCCTGACCACGGGAATGCACGGAGCGTGCGGCCGCTTGCCAAGACGCGAAGACTTCGATACATTTCATTACCAACAGGTGAAAGCCTAAGTAATAGAGGACAAAAGAAGCTAAGCATGGTTCTAACAGAGTCAGAAAGATTTGAAGCACGGCTAGGGGAAAAACTATAAGCAAGGAGCTTGAGCGGAACAAAGAGCAGAAATAGAAGGCGATAAGTGGACAGAAGGCTAAAAGATAGTCTGAGCTAAACTACATGGAGCGCCTTCTGAACTCTTAAATGCAGCGAGACAGTCGAAAAATTACGTCCGATGTATCAAGGGCGAAGAAAGCGAAAAAAAGCAGTACTGAACTGACGTAGAAAGAGATTCTGGAGGTAAGTAGCAGAATAGTAGTCGAAAAGCAGTGCACTTGACTGGGATACCATAGAAAACTGTGAGGCACTTGCAAACTAACTACCTGGAGATCTTCCGATAAATGGCCACTAAATTATAAAAAAAAAAATATTTTGCGAACCAATGGAAGGGTGCTAGATTGGTATTCATACCAAAACCTGTTGGTAAGCTTGCTGGATAACCGACTTCACACAAGCTACTCTGCCTCGTTCGTACAGTAAGTGGGGCACTTCAAACGCTTATCATTCAGGGGCTGTCTAGTGAAATAGTGAAAAGAACAGAACCAGTTCTGGTTTAGGTATAGTCGATCATTATATGATTTTGAAGCACGACCAAAAGGAACTAAAGGTGCTGAAAATATCAAGGTATTTCTGTTCTATCTTCTTAAAAATGCCTTCAATGTACCGAACTAAAGCCGCGCTGAAGGCAAAAGAAATATTTTCAAATATATCTGAATAACCCAAAGAACCTAGCGGAGGATAGTATTGAGTGCGATTGTAACTCATGAATGTTACAAGGTTGCATCTTAGGATCAATAAGGGAGAATCTTGTCTATGACAGAGTGGTCAGACTATCCACGTCCGAGGGTTCATGCAGACGATCGGACGGCATTGATGATCACTGCCAGGACCGAGACGAAACTGGAAAACGAAATAAAAATAGACCTAACCAATCACAAAAGTCCGGGTGAACATGATAAATAGCCATCAGCTTTAGCTAGCAGCACAAAAGTCATACAGGTTATAGGCAAAAAAATGTGTGAGCTTTAGCTTTAACTTGAAAAGTACTGACTCCAACAACAGAAAACAGCCCGCTAGTAGAATCTCCACACTTGGAACGAATGTTGAAGAAAGTGTCTTTGCTGCGCAGAGTCTCAGCAGGTTAAGGTATGTAGATTGGTTAAGAAGAAAAGTTTAAGTTAAGAAGAAATTGGTTAAGGAAGAAAAAAGCTACTTTTTTAATTTATTTACAGTTTTCCACTAATTTCCAGTTTGCGCAAAAGTTATTGAATCAAAGAATAATAAAAGTAAGCTAAGAAAAGCGTAGCGAGTGCTGGCTCTTTGGACAAGGAGAGCATCATGGCACATCATTGTTGAGGAAAGGTAAGATTTAGAACTCAGAAACTTAAAAGATAATGAGAAAACTTTTCAAAGGCTAAGAGTGGGCAAGCACAATAAGGACCTACCATGATTAAAAGGCTAATACAGGAATTCAGAAAGCAACACAGAAAATATGTTAGAGAACTAACCTGCTACCTGGCTCATTCACTGGGTATGTGTGTTTTCAAGCATATCTTTGTAAAGCAAGAAGGCACACATGACTTATGTAATGCATGCAGCACTAGCATGTGTGACGATGCTCATACACTGAAGTACCATACACTTCACGGGAGGAAAGAAATTGAAAGATTACTAGGATATCCATTTAGAATCTAAGTCATGGTAAGCTCGATACTTTCTTCAAATACGTGATGAAGGTTACGAAGCTTAAGGGATATAGGAAACGAACAGGACTGTATAGGTATTTATTTGAAACGCACCTGGCCAACAGAAGGGGTGAAAACAACCTCTACAGAGTGCATGACGTTTATTTATTTTTTTAGACTGCCTTCGACGTCAAATATTTAAAACAAGTATAATGACGAAATTGTAATTTCGGGTTGCAATATATCTTGGAGGTTGGAGGCACGAAAGATGGAGGCAGTCTAAATCAAGGCGAAAATTATTTATTGTTAACCACCTTCCTGTAATGCTCTGACGGACATCCCCAAGTTCAGTTTAAGTATCAACATGACTATTTCAACCATGTAGCCTTTTTCCAAGTGGCAACAGATTTGACGTCACCTGCTAACACTTAGATTTACAGTTATATGTGAAATCAAAAGAAAAACGGTGATTCATCTGAATGTTTCCAAACCTGAGTGGTCTTGAACCTTTCCAGGTGAATGGCGTATCATGTCTTGTAGTAAAATTATAAGCTAATATTGTTACCATTTCATAGGCCGATGTTCAAAGGCCAAGGTTCTATTAAATGTAATAAAAAACGAACAAGAAACACAATGAAAATCTATAAAACTCGAATAGTCACGTACGTAACGAAGGACGTAGAGCGCACAAAGAGGCATTTGCCGAGGGGTTCTGTTCGTGAGAGTGTGCATAAGGTGCATATGAGAAGGAATACCGCGAAAACACTATTGTGGATGATCAAATGCAAGAAAACCTGGGTAAAATGGTGATATTATACAAGATTGTATGGATTGCAACGAGGCCGCGAGAAAAAACCTTCGACATCTCAAGCAGTAGACCGTTTGCCGAACTATTATCTGAAGTGATGAAACAGAAACTGTATAACGCCTCCGGCCAGGACATAAATGTTTTTCTTTGGGTACTAGTATCGCTTAAATGAAGTAAAAACTTGAATGTGAACTCTAACATAAGCTGTAGCGATGCGAAGATTATATGTGGTTTTAGTATAAGTATACGTGCTTTGCTATTATAATAATAAGATCACAAAGTTTGAATAAATTACGAATATAAAGGATGGATGAGATCTTACGAAAACTAAGAACTCTGGTTTAAAGCTGCTCTTAATCTAGTAACTATTGAAACTGTATGGAGAAAAATAAAAATAATAATAAATAGTAATCATAATAATAAATATCTCTATAATTGTATGATAGTATTCAAAGTGTTTTGCTGCGAAGGTTACTTTTATCTTTGACACCTTTTGATCCTCAAACATAGCAGTTTCTTAAATATACAAACGTTTCTCCATGTGTGAAATATATTTCAAGGCTACAGCATACTTTAGCGCAAGTTTGGATTGTTCTTATCATATGATTAGAACCACTGTAACATTAACTCTAAATGCCGAAAATAGATGTGAATTCGAGCCAATACACGACACATGTCCATAGAATATAATTGAAATTGCGTCAAGATAGGTGAAGTAAATTTTGGAAGTAAATAAAGTGACAGTAAAGACTAATAAGACTTTTTCAAGGATCTTCAAGTAAAATCATTCTTTAGAAATACAGGAATTTATTTGTATCCAACTATTGTTCATCGCCATAATACTCTTGCTGGCACGATTTAGGTACAGAGGGCTATGTACATGGAACTGTATTAACGGATTAAACTGAAAAATGCGCAAGGCGCCCTCAAACTGACCTGACTGATGGTTTTTACAACTATGTTAGAAGAAGGACAATTTATACAGAACCAATCTTCATATGTTGTGAAAAAGTTCGTTAATTTCTCTGCATCGACTCACGCAGCAATGGTTTATTAATGCTGAACTTACCACTACCAGTCAATTTGACCGTTTTTAGCATAATGAGGATAAATATAAAAGAAGTGTCAATGAGTTTAGTGTTGGAACATATTAAAAAGCTCCGTATGGTGGTTCTGAGGGTTCTCATGGTTTATTCTTGGCGGGCTATCTAAAAATACAGCAACACGTCTTTAATGTCGGTTTGCTATATTTTCAGAAGGTTCATATACGTGTTATAGATGTTGCTCAGATGCATGATAACACCGCAAGACAGATTAGTTGCTGACAGTCATGTACTAACAAGATGAATTTGCTTTGTTTCAATTAGTTTATGAAAGATTTATGAGAGAATGTTGGACGATATATTTCAACAGTCTCATGATTCATATGACTTACATGGGTGTTTGACGGTACGGAACCATAATGTAATTTACTTAAAATCGTCTGTCTCCTTATATTTGTAAACATTCTTGGTTTCTTCGTGTTTTGATCACGTGACTTCGAGATAGGAGAGGGCAGGTCCGTTCTATGACTGTGACCGTGCGCGTCGCCGCCGCTAGCCGTGAGCGGATCTGGCAGTTGGCAGAGGGTCTCCCGCTCCTATTTCATTCCTTGATAGCCAAGGAAGTATGAGCCACTTCCATAGTGAAGGCTACGTTAATAACGACAGTCACTGGCGGTGGATGGTTCCAGTTGTATGCTATGGCTACTTCTACGATGTCTCAGTGTATTCATAGCGTTTAGATCTTGACTTGCCTAAACGAAAAGGAGGCGACTTAACGATTACAAATTAAGGAAATCTTTTGCTGCTTGCTATTATTTAGTTGGTAAGTCCTATTCTATAAGTTTTCTTTTGTTGAGCTAGAGCAAAGTTATAGACAGATTGACCACTGCGGTACTGCTACTGTTTTGTAAGTTCTGCATGTCGAAATAACTTCCTAAGTTTCAATATAATTATACTATCATTTCATAATATATACGTTATTATCTGAAACTCTGGTAAATTGGAACTCCATGCAAGTGTAAATGCCAATTCATATATTCCATAGCTTGAAATTGTGCTAGTTTATTACATAATAAATGTGGAGCTACTGGTAAACGAACGAGTCAACTGACCATTTTGTGAGCAATGTATCAATAAACTATGATAAGCGGTTTTAAATAAATATATATAGATAAATTTGTAAGGCGCATACATTAGACTCCTTGAATTTAGCTGCGATAGAAACAGATTCTTCTAGACATTTGATTACATGAAGGGACAGCGCGAATCAATTGTTAATTCATGAAAAACTCTTGGCAACCTATGTTATCTATTATGTTTTCTGTTGCTATGGCTTTCTTCGTTACATTCAGGCATCATTTTCGATAAACACAATTATGCATAGTCTTATTATATAAGCCCTGTTTTTCACACAATAGTAGTAATAATAATAATACGGTATGCTTTTGTAATCACTAATGGATATTTCTGGACAATTTACAATACACAAATTGAAAAATAGGATGGTGCCAGTTAAGTCGCGAAATTAAACTGCTTTTTTTGAAAATCACAATATTTCCTGCGCGTTTATTGATGATAGTTATTAACCGTTCCCACGAGCACCTGTTGTTTTAGTTAACTGAATTTGTACTTTATAAAACACAATCCATGCGCTTTTCGACCTATGGAGGTACAATATTATAGTTCGACAAGTTTAGCTGTGAAATTAAGCGACGTGGTGAAAAAGTGAGTTGCAAGACAGGCAGAGTACACGTCTACAATTTATACAAAAATGAATGTGCAATTACAAAATGTTTACCTTTCTTTTCTACTGTATTTGCTGCAGTCGTGAATTATCCTTCTCTCAAACGGAATCGACAAAAAAAAGGTGATTGGGCATTGATTTGGCAGCTAAATAACTTGTTTTTCCAGGCCGACAATCTACATGCAAACCATGTTAACCGCCTAAACAATCTCATGAACGAGGAGAGACGCACTGGTGCTGGTATTCAAAAGTTTCTTTTACCACGTGACCAATAATCCTTTATCGTTTTTTACCGTTGTTTGCAGAAAAGTAGGACCGACCATACAAACTTTCTAACACACCTTTCTGTGTGAACAACGTTTTATTTGAAGAGGACAACATAGGTTAGAAAATTTTTACACGCCTGCGAAAGAACGAAACCTAACATTAAGGCAAGAAAATTATCATAGGAACATGGTTGCGGTTTCTATGGAAAAGCTTTTGATGGACACTATTCAGGTCGCATTTTTCTAACTTCTATACACCTAAGTCAAATTATCACCGGTAAAACGCTAGGCTTTTTTCCGCAAGTCAAATTCTAAAAAATGGGGCCGCGTGCATTGTATTATGGGAAAACAGTGAAGTGATTTTCGGTCATGTTCCCTTTTTCTTGGGAAATGAAAGTAAAAAACCAAAGTGCGTGCATCACGCTTTGCGTTAAGGAAGTATTCGTCAAGACCTTCATATAAATAATGTCCAATATGTGCTTGGGGCACCTTTATTTAAAGCGTGTCTGTATGCATAGAGGAAACTGTGGAAACAGGAGTCGCGAGCGACTCGAATGACTGTAAAAACGAATTTATTTAACCATTTTATATAAATATGCGCTAAAACATTATATTTTGTATATGAGGGTCTTATTGTAAAAATAATAATAGAACTGATAACGGAGCATGTTGGTGGAAGTGAATTAATAGATCCAGACTAGATACTTACATCTTTACTAAAGGTGCATCGGAATACTGTTGACCTGTTCTTTCTTCACACCCGAGGTCAGTCATTGCCATCCCTCTGAATGCAGGAGTATATTGCTTATACTCAAAGGTAAATTTCTTCTCTATAGTGTCTTTGCATGAAAATATTAAAATATGCAAGGAAGGCATTCATGGAGTCTTTGGTGGAAGCTATGTCGCAAAACATTGTTTGTTAACGTACCGGGAATACTCGGCATATATATTAACCAGCCGAATCCAAACGGATATGATTGCTCTATGTAGAAGATTATTTGCCCCCGTGCTTTGCTCGCTTTATTCTACGCATTCATAATAATTTACTTAGACGAAGTATTTCCCCTTATTAAACAATAAAAATCACCTTTTCGTTGTTGTTTTCGAAAACGTCTTTTTCGTTTGTGAAAGCATTGGGGTATATGAATCAATAAAAAATAGGCGTGCTCTACTATATATTTGAACACTGAAGCAAAGAGGCAAGTAATTAGTGGCTAATCGTTCCACACATGCGCGTATATATAAAATGTAGACACAGCTTAAGTTATAACGACCTTGGCTTTATTTACATAAAATTATTATTCAACTTGTAAAGTAGTCTAATAAGTTTTTCTTCTACCCAGATGTTCAGTGTTATTACCGTTTTGATCAATAATAGGCTGACACTTGTAGGCTTTTTGTTCACTAAGATCAACAAACTTCAAGATTATCTAATGTCGTTGGTTTTCTGGCGTAAGCCTTATTTCTGAAGTATTTCTATATAAAGTTCATTGGCGTGATATATATATAAAGCAGGGTATTCTATAAGACCCCTTCATTCAAGTTATCTGTTTAGAGGATTCTTATCAAGATATGCTTTTACGTCAAGAAGATAGGATGCAGGTGTTATGTCGAATTAGGAATAAAATTCACCATCTTAACCAAGTACTTCCGAATGCATGGTCAAACAAATATTTGCTATAAATTCCGCATGTAAAATGCAGAAACTGTACTGGCAAGAAAAGAATGTTGACGCAAATTACAGTGGTCAGATTTTTTGGACACTTATATATGTATATATATCGACGCAAACAAGCACTACACGATTTGTGTGAATAAAAAAAGATTATATGTAAGCTTACCCCGCTTTAGAGTGCCGATTGTATATTACTTAGCGTACACGTACCTAAAGGTGAAAAATGATAGAGGAAGGGATAAGTAAAAGCACTAAAAGCACGGTAACGAAAATAGATAATAGCAAGAATTCCGGTTGCAAAATTTCAGCAATGCATTGATGCCGTCTGTAGATACGTAATCGTTGGTAGGAAGCAAATATATCAAGCTCCGTATGCAAGACGTGTATCAGAAGGAAAAGCTTTTTTATTAAGTATTAACGAAATAACGTGACTGCATTAAGCAGCAAAAAAGTATAATGACAAAATGGAATACGACCTTAGTTGATACCTGCTAACAAATGTAATAAAGCAATTAATGAAGCACCAACGAGGTGTAAGCCTTTAATCGGGCTAATAGCTCCAAAATTCCTTGCAGTGGTAAAGCAAGAATAGTTAGGACAGTTTGATAGGGAAGACGTGCATAGTCATGGAAAAATTGCCGTCAATCCTACGCAGAACTGGTTTCTCGAGATCGAATTCACGAACTTACAGAGACTATGCAAGTGCTATATAGAGCGGGACAAGTAGGAACAACTCAATGAAGAGTGGTATTTTCCGTGCTACAGTCTTACGTAACTACGATAAATATGTCAAATAAGCACATTAAACACGATGTACCAAAGATTGTTTGGAAGCGCAAATTAAACTCTCCTACTAGTCGTCTCTGTGTGTTTGAGCCTACCTAATTAAACCACTTTTTATCTTAAAAGCGGAAACGGTTGGTGGAGTTAACTCAAAAGTGTATTTTCTGTGCAAACGAAGGCTGTTTTTCAAAAAGAAATTTTTGAAGAAATATGAGTAAATCGTTGAAAGGCATACATTTAATAGAGTCTAGCATTGTTGTGGTATAAGAAAGCTCTCATGTGAAATCTCAATTTCTCTGAATGTGACCGGAGCATTTTGGTGATATCGCTGTGAGTTCATGGCACGCAAGGAAATTGAAGTTTTGCTAACCGAGAGACCTACCAGAAATCGTAAGCCACAAAACCCTAAGCTATGCTTCGTACGAGACAGATGCTATGCAGAGCAGGACAAAAAAGATAATTTAGTAAAACCTGGGAACATTGATATACAACAGCGATAAGTAGGTTCAATATACTATTGTACTTTTTATTTACTATTGTATATTAGGAGTCAATTTATTAATGTACCATGATGAGATAGTTCCAACTACTGTATCCGAACCCATTTTATTGTATGGAACTTTGTATTAACATGTCTAGGTGTAGAATCAAGTGTCTGAAGGTGTTGGACAATATTAGAAGCTGCCCCGAGGAATATAATGTTACTCTGCAACTTACTCGATTTAGGCTGCACAAGGAAAATATTTCTTGCCATTCACTTAGTTGAATACAAGTTATTTAGGATTCCTTGTATGAACAACCCATTTTTAAATATTTGTCACTTAAATTTTTTTTATTTTTTCTGAGCCCTCCTTGAGGCTAGGCGAATGGAATTGAAGATATAGCCAGAACTTTAATTAAAAATCATGGACTTAGAGTTTAAAAAAGATTAATTTAAACTGAGGGTACAGTAAGTCAGAGGCTCGCAAGCGGCAGATAATATCAATGGGAATGTGTCGACTGCAAAATATATTGTTCAAAGAAGACTGATTGAAAACTTGTGGGCACATGCGTGTACAGGGAAATATGTTTAATAATTTAATACCCGCCGAAAAGGTTGCACAGTGGGTAGGTTTATTATTTAGTTGGGTAGCAGCAATTAGTGTAAAAAAAGTTTTTACTCACTACGCTTGGTTTTTCATTTTGAAAATATAATTTTTCTGAAAACTTTTCGTTATGCCCCAATATTTTCTAGCATGCACGTCAAACCTAAATTGCGTCATAGGTAAGACACCCCAACGCGTTTTTGTTTTCGTTGTGCTTTAGCGTCCTGTCAGAATTCGCCAAAATTTCCAGAATGCAATTGATGAGTATTTTTTCAGAACTCGAAAAAAAACTACTCTTTTAATGCATTTACTGAGTGTCTACCAGCAATCGAAAAAGGGACAGGGATTATCGATACAGATGATAAGGGTATATATTTTTAGAGATCGTAGCTGTTTCCAAAAATACTCAGGGTTCAAACCCTAAGGCCAACTATGTCTGTAAACATTGAGGCAGCTGTGGGTGTGTGGTAGGTTGGGCAAACAGTTCGCGCGGTTAATTCAAAAATTTCTCTTTCTTACTTACTGTCACTTGTAGTTTACTTATTATACACTGTTCGCAAGCGCTTTTGCAGCGAATGTTGTATTATATAAATGCATTATATTGTGAGTACGATCTAAACTCCTTAAAGACGGACCTTTCAAATGTAAAGAGTACATTTTTGATACCCTCTGTACTTCGTCGAGGGAAAAACTTTCTCAAAACAGCCCCGGAAATTTGCTTATATACAGTAACGACTCTATCACTAAAAAAATTGCTTAAGGGTGATTCATACTTTGCTAAGTTTGAGAACGGTTTACGGAACTTAGAGGATGCTCTCCGCTTCGGCACGCTGTGCGAGTTTAATGACGACCATCTGACAACATTTTTGAATGAAGACAGGCAACAAACAACTCAAGAATTGACCGGAAAATTGGGCTGCAACTACAAGGTCATCGTTAATCTTTTCATACCTTTGGGTTTATTAGAAACTTAGATCTCAGGTACCATATGAACCCTCCAGTAAGGAAATACGGTTTAGCGTTGCATCTCAGCATCGCCTGGTATTGAACATCACGCGGCCTCAATTATCAATTCTTGCCCAGAATAGCGATTAACTGATACGTCAATTAGAACCAGATATCAGGACGGGTGGCCCCAGAAGAAAAGCTAAGGCCCATGCTTCACCCGGATTTTTATCCAAAAAAGGGGTGCTCTTTTTTCAGTGAGAATGCAAGGGTCTTCGAAATCGCTTACGACAAGCTAGCTCTCGGCATGTTTATTTTATCTACTTCCATCTAGGCAACCAGGCTATTCAAAAGAAAAGACTCGATAAATAACATCAGATTTTGCTTCACGACAACGTGAGACTACACATGGCAAACATCGTCAAAGCTGCTCCTTTGATTTTAAGTAGGAGGCTGTGTTGCACCCTGCATATTCTCCAGAACTTACCCCGACAGATACATCGTTCGATTTACTGGGAAGTCTTTTTTGTGGTATTATTTTCAACACGAATCAATAACTCAAAACCTGGATGGAAAACTTCTTCAGACGGTGCCTTCTACCTTCAGACGAGATGGTATATATCCTTTGGTGGAAAGATGAGAAAGAATCGTGAGCAGTGGGAAGGGATACATAACACAAAGGCCTACTGTCGCAGGAATAAAAATATGGGGCTTTTACTTTAGTAAAATTGCTGAAACCTATCATTTCATCTAATATTTGAAAACGAGAATCGTCGTCGTTTGATTATACGACTGGCAATTTCCATTTTTTTTTTTGTTTAACTTCCATCCTGTAAAAATTTATCCACAAAACTTCCTTTAATTCTTCTAAAAAAAGCGCTGGCACAAATTATTTGAAGCGTATGCTACACTTGTTTCTTCAATATCAACAGTTAAGCTTTGTTTAAGCATTTCGTCAGCGTCATTGATATTTTAGCGATACCAAGCGAAAGAACGGAATCTTAATAGGACCAAAATACCAACATGTCTGAGGCCATACTGACAGGTTACGTGTAGGTGATCACGAATTTTAATATTCATTACAATGTTGATGAATTCAGAATCTAATTTGACTTACCATTGTGATTTATTTTTATTCCATTGGCTTCAAATAGGTATTGTGCGAAATAGCTGAGTGCTCTACACGAATGCATTTCATATCAAATTAATAACCGTCATACAATAGGTGAAATTTGACATGCTACATAAAAATTCGACGATTTGATAGCACGTTGTCGTGTAGGTTAGGTCCAAAATTATTGACAAATATTGTCAATAGATATAAAAGACCTAATAGAGCCAATAATGTATGTAAAGAATAATTTTTTTTAAGCTCTATTAATACACAATGTTCTTCATACTAGGCTGGGACATAAGTAATAGCCATTTCTTCATACTCGAATTACTCGAATTTTAGCAACAAATTAATTTATATATTCGCCGTCACTCTCGACGACCTTTTTACATATTTATTAGACTTATTAGAATTTCTTTTTCGCCAGAAATTGCCAGGTACAGTGTTGAGGAACCCGTCCAGCCAAATTTAAGGACTTCTCTACCAAATATACGGTTATTAACATCATTTGAAAGTATTTGGACGAGTTAATAATCCGTAAGTGTAATGGCTGAAGAATATGATGGATGCAAAGTAACCTCCCAACTATACTCTTACCGGGCGGCTTTTATAATCTTTGCTATGTGCAGCTTGGCAAGATTGTGAAAATGGTCACTTTGCCTCGACTAACAGGTTTTTTCTGTTGGATAGCCTCCTTTAATTGTTGCAACTAGACTATATACGCTTTGTTGACCATCTTGTTCTTTCCAAAATAAAAGCTGCATGAAAGCCTTTCCATCCCATTAAACGTGACGATCCTTGGTGGATTAGGATTTGGCCTAGCTCTGGGTGTACGCGCATTTTAAATCGACATGGGCACATCTCATTACTAGTGATAAAACTATGTGCAAGACAGCGCATTGCCCTGTATCAGACTAAATATTGATCCTTAGTAAGAAGCAGTGTTGTTTCGGCACTTTATCCAATAAGTGGCACACACAGGTTCCTAATTTCGGGTATTTACTATATAATAGACTGATAATGGGATCCTGGTCGTAGTTTATCTTCTCGGCTAATCAGCGGGTTGTCTTCATTTCGAGGTCTTCATCGACTTTGAATTGCCACCGAGGTGAAGCCTTTTCGAGTAGTCCTCTTGGTTAAAGTATTTCTGTGCGATATTTATGCATCTGCATGACAGCTGATTGTCTCATAACATATGTGCTTTGCGCACAATGTTTTGCTTAGTCTAGAAATAGTTGTTTGGTGCTTCAATAGCTACAGTTACACAACTTTTTGCGTGGTTTGCGTGAGGGTCTTCTTCTATTTTAGTATACTTGCAAAGTAATAGTGTGCAATAATTCCTTATTCCATAAATACACCTTGTCCTCTTTTTGATTATGCACATTATTGTTCACATGATTCCGTTAAAACTACGGGGTGTATGAATATATTTCAGACAAATTGTATTTACTTAAGAATGCAGGTTATTGACAAGAATTTAGGAACCATGATTACAAGGTGTGTAAAAATGAACGAGTCACAAGCGTTAACCTATACATTTCCCCATTATAAGCGCACAGGCAAACATCTATCACAAACAGAGGATGGCATATGGTGTAGTTATATTATTGATACCATTGTAATAGCTAGAGTTGCTGACTAAAGCTAGACAACTTTGTATATTGCAGGACAGAAGTCTCGGCCACTGGTCATCAATAAACTGTCAGACGTGCGAACACTGTTATTATAGCTAGCATCATGCTGTCAATATCTCCCTAAAATGTCCTAGAAGGCCCCACCCGCGTTTCCGCTTTCTCCTGTATGCCTGCAGTATTTTAGGAGTTGTCGGAGTCCGACAAACGAGCCAACCTGCAAGTATCATAGTCCGTGTTGACCACTGTGGTGTTCTCATCGCAAGATGGGGTGGAGCCAAGCCGATGAAGGTGGCTATAGGACAAGCCTAAGATTAGGACGAGCTATCTGTGTGACTTCTATTATCGTTCTTTTGCTTCGGACCAACGCGGTAACAAGTCAGAGTAAGATACATGAACCGTAGGTAATTACATATACACAAATCCAAATTTGTTAGTAAGTCATGTACTGTAGTTATCAATTTTTTTTTGGTTGCTCATAACGCTTTGGTATGTCTGCAATTCAAATTCAAAATTAAAAACTCAAAAAATAAGTTCCAAACACAGACACACAAATAGGACATGTATACATAGCACGGCACGTCCACGCCCATATTGGGCGAGGCTCACCGCAGATTTTACAACTTACTGTACTTACAACCAACCATAGCATTGACTTTCCTAATGTAAGAAATTAGATACCATTCGAGTAGTTTAAAAGAAAGCTATAACAAAAATTTTGTGCAATAATCTATATAGGTGAAAACTATTATTTTCTTATTATATGGTTAAATTATCCTACGCAGGTTTACCGGAAACTCACAGCAAACTGTCATAGTGTTTTGTCGTCATAATTTGGTCAATTTTAGATTAGATAGAGTGTAAAACATGATACCTTCCAAGAACTTAAAATGTTATCTTTTTTAATTTACGATTTTCAGTTTTTTTTAGTTATTATTTGTCTATATTCATATTCTGTCACTTAGGTAAAATAGTATGTAAAACACAAATATGCCGTGCCAAAAGTGTGCTTGAAGTAAGCCTTTCATACACTAGTTAACTATGTGTGTGAACACGGAGAACGACTCAAAAATCCAAACGTGTTTCGTTTGATTTAACGTAAATTATGCAGTATATGACTTAATTTACCTTCGGAAATGGAGATATTCTAGATCTTAAGGCCAATCTTATATTGCTAAAAATGATTCTCAACTAAGCTGCGTATCTATTATTAAAAATATTTTGTGCTTTCAGTACCAGTGGAGGGACCACGTACCGTGCGAATTATAAATGCTACTAATGACTCTCTGACGATATCCTGGTCATTCTCAAGCCCATCAAACCTCTTCAATTTATCCACGTTTACGATTACAGCAGTTCCGATAACCTCCTATACTTCAAACCCTGTCACAGTCGAAAGCAGCGTGGGCAGCCAACAAAGATCATTTGTACTTCTTGGACTTAGTCCTGCCACATCTTATAATATCTCGGTCTGGGCCATCGATATTGAAGGCAACGTTACTGAGAAATCGTATCTTAGTGCCTGGACACGGCTTGGAGGTACCTGAATTTTCGTTATCGCCATCACTGTTAGTGGGTTTCTAAGAGTTTCTTCAGTAGGTGCACAGAAAAACGTTTATACTTGATGCCTCGTTGAAGAAGTCCTTAAAAATATGTTGAACATAAAAAAACACAATATTAAGAGTCATAATAGATTTTCAGTTAGGGACAGAACTCCAAAATGTAATTTGATGGTATTCTTTATTCATCTTACCAGCTTTAGCTAACGCTAAATTTCTCTACAGCAGCAATTTAAATTGCATCTTATAGCACGTAAAATGGCCAAAAATGCCACTCCTCTGATAACGTCTATTGGTAAGAGCCCTTTGCCTATCCTTTTTAGTATAAAACGAGAGACAAAATGAGATTTCAAGTCAATAGGAATATATTGCGAAGGCTTGGCTTTCAATACCATCTTTATGGTATTAAAAACTGCCGACCTAAATTTCTTGAAACATCAGTTTGTTAAATCAGTTGAAAAGTACTGCTGGTTACTAAATATTATTAACTTCTGACCTACTTTTTTGACCCTTTCTTCTGTCCTGCTGCTTGTAGTATATTTAAAACGTTACTCAAAATTAACTTCTTTACATGCTTTGTCATAATCATACAAATCTTTGTGGTACAATGGGTTTGAATTAGCTATGGTTACACATAGTATTCATATCCCACTGTTATATATTATGTCAGCGCTTGCTTTACTTTAGATAAACACGCGATGCATTGCCGATTGCTACTTTTATGTAAATGTAAACTCTTCTAAAAAATGTGAATAGCCAAACAAATCGACTCTAGCGCCAACATCCGACTAGAGTTTTATATGGTGGAAGCTAACGTGAAATTTACAGTCGAAATTAGTACGAGGCCTATGGCGACAAAACCTACGTTTACTTTAGTGGTTACGGAGTGTGTTAAACGAATTTGGCTATAATTTCGCATGTCAGACGTGGAAAACTGTTCGTTTTTATTGGAATTAAAAAGGCTTGTGCAGATCTTCATTGAAATTTTATACGATTTTTTTATATACCTGTAACGTAATTCCATAACGGACGCAGTTAAACTTTGCTCTACTGCAGAGCTTTCTTTTCATCTCAGGGCCGGCAATCAGTTAGAGCATATTCTTCTTAAATATCTGGTATTTAAGTTACACTGTGCATTTATTTAAGGCGGTAACTTTTATTCCGTCTCTGATTATTAACGAGTTGCAGAAACGACCTAGCCTAAAATAACAATAAATGTATAATAATAATATATATAATTATATATTACATTTAAATATAAAAATAATATCATAATAAATAAAATAACTTTACCACGCTTGCCGATCTAATACAGTAACTGAGTACGTTGCTACAAAAGCTATAGTACAGACTTATAACGATGCAAACGCGTCCACAATACTGTGACGACCTGTGCTCTGTTTATTGCTTCGCGCTTCCCGAAGTGGACGATATCTCATTAATACGAAGGTTCGTCGTATTTCGCAATCAAAATTAGAGTCTAGAGAAAAACTGTTAAATGCTCAGATATTTTAAAAGTTGGCGCTCGTGATGCCCTTAAGAAGCCCATTCTTAGATTGCAATAGCTCAACGAATTCGCACATCGCATCGTAAGATGCATTAGAGAATTTAGCGTCCCAGAAGGACTCAACCTCGAGTGAACTGGAAAGTAGATCTCTGTAAACAAGAACTCTTTGGAGGCTTAAGTTGTTCCATTTAAAATTGTAGAAATTTACCAAGAGGAAAAATTGCAAGGCGAGCACGTTGCCGATTCTGTGATACTTTGTTCAGTCTGTATTTAACTGTAGGCTGCTCTTTTAGACTGTAGTATTATGAGTTCAATTTTACCATGGCACCTAATATTATATATAACTTAACTTGTGACTAGACACTTTTGTACCAAATTAAGCAGGTTAACAAGCTAACTATATACACATTATTATATATATATATATATATATATATATAATATATATTATTAGGGTAATATATATTCTAATAAAAAGACAATTTGCCGTGGCTTGAATGAAAGAAGAACAAGCAATTTACGCCTTTCAAATTTCCATAGACGTATTAGCCGGGCTCATTCGCAGATAATGATATCAACAGTAAAACTGTTTTATAGCACTGATCCAGATCCTTGAGTCGCACCTGAGGTAGCTCTTGGACAAAACAGTCAGCGTAGTTAGAGGTGTATTACCAGGGCGTCCGGCTAATGTCGGGATTAAAACTGGAACTCTTGAATGGTTTCAAAAAACGGCACTTAACAATTCAGCCTCAAGAATTGGTCGATGGCTTGGTCCAAACATATCACTCTCTATTGAGCAAGGCTGTCTTGCACTTCCCTACAGACTCTACAACGAACGCAGCAATAGGACTTCGTTGTTTCTCGATTTGTACAAATCGATATGGCGCTAATGTCCCTAGACAGAGGTGAGACTTCACAAGGAAAGGTACTGTTTCAGCAGTCAATCTGGGGTGACCTACGTGCTTGCGTATGCTGTTAGCTTGGCAACTACGTGTTACCGCTACGGGGCCCGAAGACATAATTTGATCTTCCTGTAGAAATAGTATATATATAGCCAAATATATCCGTTTTCCAGTTTGTTCGTGTGTAACCCCTTGTCCTGAGAGGTCTTTGAAGCAATGTTAAACAGCGACACCGATGCTGGTCGCAGAAAGAAATCCAAAAGTGGGCTTGGAAAAGCATAACTATGACCGCCATATGTAGCATGTCGCCGTAGTGCTAGGAACGATTAATAAGACCAGACTTGGGCTAAAGCTAAAAAGAGTCTCGCTCGAAGAAGACAACGTTTATTTTGAGTGCGACTGAGCTCCGCCCAGACCCGACCAAGTTGTTAAGGTCTTCTGGTTTAGCCTTATACAAAATTGTTTAAAAGCTTCTTTAACTTGACGTCTTACTACATAGGATTTTTGAATGACTTCTTAAACATTGAGCATCGCTTGTATTGTGTAAACTTCGACACATGAACGTATTGTAAGAGATTGGACCTGCATTATCCACTTGTTTTTTGCCTATTCAAAATGGCGCAAGGCTACATGCCCAGAGTACCAGTGGATCTGAATGGCAGTGACTTTGGCCCAATTGAAAATGACATGGAAGAGTATTTGTTTGTTCCAATGGACGTTTCGCAGCAAGTTAGGCAAAGTGCCACTTCTCGCAAACAGACTATTTGACTGTATTTTAGACTTTTTTAAAAAAAGTCTTTAGAATATAGTTTAAAGTCATTTTTTGAAAAAGTTTTTTTAAAACTTTAATTTGTATCTATATGGCTATCTATTCAAAGTGATCATGGACTGTGTGCCCTTACGTGTTTAAAGAACGAGACAAATCTATATTCAAGCGTGTCACTATGAGGCCTGCTTTCCAAGAATATGTTTCTTAAATAGTTAGTCTAAATCGTACTTACTTCTTCGACGACGCTACTATAAATATACTTGCAATGCGACAGATGTATCGCAATGCAACAGTAATCGCTAAACGATTACTCGTCTACGTAGTACTGATGTGTTGTCGATCTATGTGTACCTTTCGTTCCAAGAATGACTTCTTTATGAACACCCAGGATAGCGGAAGCATCGAAGAGATTTTTTTCGGGTTATCATTCAACTACTGCGCTAAATTTTTCGGTAAGCCAGGCCAAAAAAACCCAGAAGATAACTTGTCGCAGACATCTGAAGGCAACAGTCCATTATACAGGTTGATTTCGAGTCAAAAAGATGCTTGGCGATACGACAGACCCGCAATCGCAAAACAAGTTTGAAAAAACGAAGCAAGTGCTTCTTTGGCAGCAAAGCCAAAAGAGGGACTGTTTGCACAACATCCACCTGGGCTACAGAAAACCAGGTTGCCGCGCTTTAGTGCCTCCCTGTACACCTCGTGCTTGTAGAACAACCGCGACGAATATCACGATGACCGGTTGATTAGGTTGATTAGATACTGGAACTAGCCAGCTAATTCTAATAAATCCAGCTAATAAGTAATCGACGTGTCGCAATATAAGAAATGTTCCAGCTAGAAAGTCGCCCAGGTTTTGCGAAAGAATCGTAACTTGTATGAGATCTTGTGAGTACGAGAAAAAATCGTAACTTGTATGGTGGATGCCAGAGTGCTTTTAGATAAATTCTACATGTTTGCTACCGTGATTCTTGCTGTGTAAGGTCGAGCAGTCCCTTTAATAGTTTTAAGTGCTTAATGCGGAATTTGTTCGAATACTGAGGCTTTACGAAATACAAGCGAACCGAATGGATTACTATTATGACGTGAAGCAAAGAGAAATAAGGGTTTCAATATGTATATGTATATATATAAAAAAGTATACTTTAAAACGGGTGAGCTCCAAATATAGCCTCCCATGATAACTTAATGTGCAACCTATTTGCCTGCTAATCTTAAGGATGCGTTGTGGCGTATGTTTAAACCGATGTCGACGACGAATGTGTCATAGACGACACATTTCGTTTTGTGCTGAGAGCCAGCACTCTAATGGAATGCCTAATGACTATACCAACCATAAAGCTTGGAACAGAAAGAGCTTCCATTACAGCTCTCAGAACTTTGTTATTCACTTCTGCAAAGATCCTCCATGGAACTCACATACATATAGGGCATATAGTATTGCTTTATGAGGACCGCCCACTTTACTGAATCAACAATAGGCCGTCCACTTTATTGAGTGAGCAATAAACGGACAAACCTTTTTTCAGTTCTTGATTTATCTTATGTCCATTTCTTTGGATTAGTCTAGACGTTATACACCTGATGGACACATTTACTGTGGTCGGACATAGAAGCTACATGAGCGCGCATGTAGACTCGTATAATCTCAATAATGTGACGTTTTTTTTTAGTCAAATTATCTTAGTGTACATAAAATAATCATATGAAAACAAAATAAAACAGTGAGTTATTTGCAGGCTAACGCTTACTTCTTAACCTCGAGCCAGTTCAATCAATTATCAGCTGAAATAAAAATCAGTCACATATTCCGCACTTGTCTTATAACAGATCTACCCGTTCCGCCAAACCCGGCAGTCGAGGAGATGTTTCAAGATGGCAAAAAAGTGCTTGTTGTTACTATAAACCCTCCAACGGAATTCCATGGGCCCATCACGTATGTATAGTATTTCTCATCGTATCTATCGTGTTTTTCACATTGTGTAAATATTTGTTCTCTTAAATAAATACAGCTGTTTCGCAATTGGTATAGAACCTAAGTAACGTAACAAATATAAAGCATAAAGATGTTGCAATTTGGTAGACCCCTGTGACTGTCGTTAATATAATTAGCAGTATCAGGTAATTATTACCTCATATTAGCGTAACGAAAAAGTAGCAAAAATGCTATCATATTACGAATAATATGTTAATTTATCATTGCGATAGCCTGAACAAACTATGTTCAGAGGAAATTGAAAGGTCGATTCTACAATTCCCTAGTTCTCCACAAGGCCAAGTTTCGCATTAAAAAAGTCAAATCACCGCAATCACATTATTTTGCTACACTATCACTATAATTATCGCTTATTTATCATTATTTTATTATTATCGCTTAATATTTTTATCACTTAAAGTATCCTAATTCAGATATTTCTTTTTAAAATTAGTCATTATTTTTTAATGAATAATCGATATGACAAACCTTCTTATAGATTTGGAGACTTTTGTACTCATGACTTTGGCGGTTGCTGTTATCACTTTGCAGGAAGTATCGCGTTGTTGTGATGGAGCAGGACTCGCTTATGCGTTTTGATCCCGATAAACTAGTTAATTTCGCAGAAGCAGATCGGGATGGCTTACCTTACTATATAGCGGGCGACTTGAAGCCTTTGCAGAAGCCCTTGCTCTTCATAGTCGGTAGCAATTCATCTAGCAATCCACCGCTTGCTGAAGAGCAGAAGTATGATATTATCGTGGGAGTCATTAGTGAATTGAATGGGGTATGTCTTTGTAGTTAATAAGGATAATATTTCACCTTGATATTATTATACGAAAAAAACTTTTTATAATATCGTGATATATTTCGTGGCGAAGAATTGTATATATAGCCCATTACACAACATTCTCTCAGCCACGAATTGACCAATGGTTAAATATTTTCCTCTTTTCAAGTTTCGTAAACGCCGATTAAGATCGAAGTGGCGGTATTTCTTGATACCTGGACGGTAGCTCTCACACGAAAAGATAATCTCTTCTTTTCTATCGCTTCGGTTCGTTTCTTGTTGTTTTTTTAAATTCGGTTTTATTCATCATCTTTGGTTTTGGTTCCTATTTTCTTCACCATAGGTTCTGTTCGTGTGAAATAGCCATTGAGAATATTGTTCATTATCGATATCCTTGCCCACTTATCTGATTTATACATCGTTTGACTAACCAGTTTTCTAGTATTTTTTAATGATACCTCCAATTTCATTATGTGTTATTACAGACCCTACGGGCGACTTTATCGTTAAATGCGAACTTTGGCTCGTAATCGATCTAGTATTTCTTACGTTGGTTTCGATCGAAAGTTTTCTTAATAGTATCTTTGCGTGATAAATTACTTTGTCTGGTCGATAAGCTTTTATTCGCATTAGGAGTTCAATTAAGGTCTCATACAAATCATTATTAATACTTCCAAGTATTTTCTCTAGGTGTTCGCTGATTGTTTTTTTCATTATCTGCTGCTTCGTAAGTGGCTGGATGATTAAGTGTAGATAATAAGGTGCAATTCACTAGAATCACAAGAAATCACTAGAATCGCTTTTGGGAATTTGAATTCTGCGAATACTTGCGACTGATACTTCTTTGGTAGTGCCGATAGAGCGCCTACTTTACGCGAATAAATATTGTATTGATCGCGATGGAAAAATAGTCTATCGTTGAGGTTCAGCGGGTGTTCCTCCAGGTATAGCTTTATTCGGGTATAGCATGGGCTTATTGTCTGTTATTAGTGTAAAAAGAATCCTATTATTTATTATTATTACTATATAATTTTCTGCTTCATCCCGAAACACTCGTCAGAATTACAGGCTGTTCATGAAAAAGGGCCGTTAATCTTTTCCTACTGCTGGTTATTTATACGATGATATCACCGATATGCCATGTGGAGATGCGTCTCTGGCGAGTATGGGGTCGTAAGATCAAACTCCTCTAATAGTTAGTCAAATATGATAGTGCCTTTGAGTTGCTTAGATCTTTGTTCGTATGATTTAGGCGATCTGACCACTATTTTACTTTCATACAGTTTGTACAATAGTTTTGAAGTGTTCATTGGTTTAGAGACAAATGGTGCATAAAACGGAATCATGTTAATTTAATATCGTATGTTATCAGAGTGGGGGTTTGTTGTCATTGAAACCTTACCTGAATATTTTGGCGTTCTTTTACGTGAATATCGGAAAAACCAAAATTTTATACAATTCCGCAGTAACTTATATGTAGAAACATTAATTCTCAGGCGCTGGTAGCCAAACCGTATCATGACTTGATTTAATCTGTGTATATTTTCTTCTTTATTATTTCCTAAAAATGATATTCCTTTTATGCGTCTTGGGATACCTGCGAAAAGGGTATCAATAGTTTGCCAACTTGACGCAGAATAAGAATAACATATCAGCATTTATTTGAATTTATGTAGTGTGTTGATTTCTAAATACTTTATAGTTATCAGAACAACTTCGCCCGGATTACGCATATATACTACCCCTAATTTTTGAAAAGGTTAAGTAGTACTTCATGCCGTGAAATTTGCCAAAAATTTCACTGTTCTTCAGTAATAAGGACTCATTGATTTGGACTTGATGATTTATTCCTGCTTTAAAATTAGCACGGAGTTATACAGTTCATTGTTTTTCTTAACACACTACAGAGTAAGCTTGTTATTAATTTGATACTACCTTGTTTATCAATTGCTTAATCTGCTTTTTCTTTCTGAGCATACGGGTCGAGCTTAGCATTAATAGGATTTTAAGTCGCTTTAACATGATGTTGAAGGCAAGATAATTTGGTATCTGATAAATTATTTGAGTCACATGAAAACCCGAAAGCAAATGGTGCAGCGAAGTTACCAAGTTATCTTGCCTTTAGCATCATGTTGCAGCGACTTCAAATTCTATTAATGCTAAGCTCGACGCGTAGCGTATGCTCGGTAAGAAAAAGATCTTTTTCTTACTTTTAAATTTAAAATATTTTCGGTCATCTGAGCTACTTCGCCTGTAGCAATTTTAGAAATTTGGAGCTGTTTATTAGATATCATTTCAGCGGAACTTTTGTAATCGCAAAGCAACATTGTTTGACTGATACTTCATTACTTGTACTCACTTCAACATTTATTGGGTGAGATTCTTGGTGACTTCGGAATGTTGTACAGAAACTATCAGTGATATAGTGGACATGTTCATACCTGTATGAACCTCCATAGTGTATTAGTTCCTCGATGCAATCTTCTACGATGATATTGAGCTTTTGGTTGCTTGTCGCCGATGAAGCCGTCATTGATAATGCTTTCTTGGTAATCTGCTCTGCTTATTGCTTCCATTCATATTACGATTTGTGATAGCACTATGATATTCTCGAGGGTAATTCGAAGATATAGCTTTTAGTAGTGATACAATGACACCAGCAGTGGTACAATGAAAACAGATCGTTGACCAACCATTGTCTTGTTTAATTAAGACTTTATCAAACTTCATTCTAAGGAGATGTTTGGTGCTGCCACTTTACATTCCTTTAACGCAGCTTCAGCTTTTAGGCACATATTTTATATATATGCATGGTTATATTTTTGTAAGTCATCGGACAAGGATGCACTAGCAGGAATTTCGACTGCAAACTGTAATTTCTATAACTTAAACATTGTCCCAGTTGAGGTTTGTACAGCGACCACTGGTCATGTGTATGATTAAAATATGACGCGCATAGCAGATTATTGAGTCATGTCTATTAGTTAAAGGTTCTTTTTACTTTGTTGAAAAGAACTGGTAGGCAATAAAACATTTCGGAGGATGCAAATGTGACGAATGAATCCTTAATTCCTCAAATATGTGAAACCGATAAATGAACGCACTTTATGTTTTGACGCCTTATGCAACTTATTAGTCATTAACTTATGCAACTTATGAGTCATTAAAGAGATACTTTTAGAATTTAGTAGGAGCGTTTAGGATATGATTAGCTTATTGAGAAGGGCATTGGTCTAAAGATATTAAGATCGAACAAAACAGTTTTTTCACATTATATGTTTTGATTCCAATAAGGTTTAGTCGTTATTATTACATAATAAATAAATTAAATTTATGATTTGAAGTAGTACATTGTTTAGAGGTATTACGCCAGACTTCAAATATAATTTAGTCATTTTTGAAGCCGTCAAGCATGCCGGAAGGAGACCGGCTGGATATGTAATTCCTTCGTGTTCTGCAAATCATGGAAACGGAATGTAACTACTAGTTTTCAATAGTCAAGCAAATTAGCAACGTAGTTTCCAAAAACAATTAGTATTAGTCAAAATGGTAATTGTTACCTTTGATGAATGGCTAGCTAGGTTACCATAATATGTTCGACGGCAGACAAAGGTAAACTAAATTAAGACAACGCATGCTAGCCTTCTAATTGAACCTGTCTTTATTTTGTCGGGTTAGGAAACGAAGAGCGTATTTTCGGTTCCCTCAAGAGAGCCTGCCTCTGCAGGTCTTGGAAGAGCCAATGTGGGTGCTTCGCGATATTTAAATGCTGAAGATGAAACTGACCTGGCATTGCGTCGTCGCGATGCTGTTCTTGTTTTTATATTGTCCGTCGCCATTGGGGTGCTGGGCTTTCTGCTTGTGGCAGCCTTTATCCTCTATTTCATCCTTCGACAGCAATATGCAAGTAAACGAAGATCCGATGAACTCATACTGAAGATACATGACCACGACAGTGTAAGTTACAAAAAAAAAATCATAACAGATCATTTTCTTGTTGTTAAAGTAGATTGCTTAATATGTTTTATGGCATAGGTATAGCAGGAGTGTGCTTTTACACAATTATAAGTAAAATCGTGTGATACGCCTTGCTATGGGGTTTAAAAACTGATAATGCATGAGTTTAAAATATGCGACCTCATGCATTATCAGTTGTTATTACTCATGCAAACGCCATAGCAAGACCTATCAGACGATTTTATTTCTAATTGGGTAAAAACAGACTTCTGCTATACCTATGTAAAAGAAAAAGAATTGTAAAACCGAGAATTGTTCACAAAACAATGCATTTTCAACGCGATTTTATTTCCAATAGCTACGTAACTTCATTTGTATGTAAAGGATAATTGTTGCTCTTTCATTTCGGGTACCTTTAAATTAGGTTAATTCGAAACGGTCCGTGCTGTTTATGTGGGGCTCGTATAACAATCTTAGTAAGAATAGTGCTAAGTGCATATTTATATTTTTAGGGAGAAACCTTTAGTGGTGAATAAAATTAAATGTCATGCTATCTATAGTGTGTCATTGAATTGCAGTAGTTGCTTGCAATTGTTGGTTTGCAAATAGAAGGCCATATACACTGAAGAAGATGTAGTGCTTTTGAAAGATATCAAGTTGCTAACAACATCGTTAAATAGAAAACATGCGTAGTTGAGAAAAAAATGAAAGACTTTGTCATGATTAGATATTATGGCTATGTCACACCATTTGCTGTACTTCGACATCACCTATAACGTCCAAACGCGGCGATAAATATTTGCGTACGATAAATTTCTTTTGTAATTTGAATCTCTTAAGATAGTTTCCCTAGCTAAACTACTCTTAAGTTTCTCTTTAATAAGAATAAAAATAAAAAATATAATTAATCATAAATGAAAAAAGACTAAGTTAGATGTAGAAAAAGTATTGTTTTAAAAAGAAAAGGCCTCTGGAATTTGTAAAATTACTACATGTCGCATAAGAATAATTTATTCTTACAGTGGTTATGCATGTGATTCTTCAATGGATACCGCCATATAAATAAAGCATATGGTTCGCACTGCACCAACTTCACTTCTGGGCGAGTCACTACGCTTACATTTGCTCAATAACGTCACAAACATACTGAGGATTTCCGCAAGGGGTATGTTTATCAGCACAGAGCAGTTTGTCATGAGAGTGAAGCGAGAAAGCCGCCATTACAAATTCACAGGAAAAAAAGACCAAAAAAATTTAAAGATAACGATGCGGGTAACGAATTTTAGTACGTTTATGGTTCCTGCGTAAATGCAACCCAATTATTCTGCAGATTATGATAGCTCATTGGGTACGAAACTCTGCGCCTTGTATTATGCGTAGCCTTCTGAATACACAAGGAATGCTAAGAGGTTAAGACAGCCTGACGGCAACGCCCAGAACAGTCCAGTTGCCAGCCCATGTAATCCGTTAGTTATAAAGGTGGAAGAGCTTTTGGAAGTCTTTATCGCCCATCTTTATACTTTTGATTAACAGGATCAAGGGATTATATTAATTCTGCTTCAGACGCCTAGAGTTCGAAGTTCAAAAGAAAGCATGAAATTAAGAAGGAAATTTCGGAAGGCATATTGCAAGCTTATTACGTATGGCTAAGGCATTCTAGATCTTAGGTTTTTCAGCCCTGCCAAAGGTTCTAGAAACCTATTTTCGGGACATTATATATTCAAGCAACATGATCCCGGTCGAATCACCATATTGCACTTCATGGTGACCATCAGAAGGTCCAAAACGGATGGAAGTATTGGAAATAGATGTTTGATGGCGTAGACGGTATCCTCAAGTCCTTGGTTAAGTTTGCGGTCTGTGCGAAATATTTAATGTATATATAAAAGCAGTGATTGCGCTAGCACCCTGTTGGGCTACTTTGTTTAACGTTTGCACGATCGGAGCAAGTATTCCAACAGTATAAAGGTATCGTATCATGGTGGTAATTCTTAAAAAGGAAGGAGGTCCCAAGATTTAAAATCTTGAAGAGAAATCACAAAGAAGAACGGTATCTACGAACTTTTTTGGAACGTTATTTTACAACGGTTAACTCTTTCTAAAACACCGTGAAGCGTTGCTGAATAAACACTATGAGTTATGCTTCATGCTGGAAGATAAGCAATTATCACTAGTTAGACTTTCACGGGCGAAATAAACGCAAGATTAAGTCATTCCAACAAACCACACAAGGCACTAATTTTATTTCGTTACTGTTTAAGCTTTTCATTACGGACTTGTTTCATACATTACAAAACGGCTTATGAAAATGCTCCTGTAAGCGGGTGGCTACGCTATGTGAGGTATAAATATATTTCACCTGCAACAGGTCTTAGTAACCTTAAACAACCTTAAACATCATGCTGGTCTTATAAGTAAACAAAGCCAATTCAAATGCTAGAAGGCTGAGACAAGGGTAGACTCGCTAACAGTGATTTGTTCCGTCTAAGTACCCTGAAAATTGTCAACGCATTTACGTACAATAGCTTAATGCTAACCTATGCTAATCGCATAGAAGGTAGGAAAGCAGCGTTTACGGCTGTCACAATTGAAAACAACTATTGGTCGAAATAGCAGTGATCAAGTTTGAATATTCCATCAGCTGCCTAATATGAATCCCAGTTATTTAGGAAAACCTAAGCGTCAGCTTCATAGTTTGGGGCAAAGTAAAACCAACGTTCTTAAACTGGTATTAGGCCTTCACGTGAAATTCGCAACCACCTATAGTGCTCGTTGACCGACATTCCAATGTTCGTCCAATATATTCAAAAGCGGTAAGCCTTCCGCAAACCGAAACATTTGATACTTAACAGACACAAAAGATAAAAATGGGCGAAGTAAATCCTTCATTCATCCAAACTTCAACTAAGACTGACAGAAGGTGGAAATCGTCATGCCAAGGCTCGCAGTGAACAGTTTCCATCACTTATTTTATAAACCGCGAACTGTATTCGCAAACGCTGTGAAGCTAAGTGCTTAAGACGTCTTTCTGGCCACTGAAGCCTAATCATATACGTTAGCTAATACCTAACCACTTGACCACTAGGGTGAATAATAATTACAGTAAGCTGCTGACAGTCATGTTGTTTATAGCAATAAGCCTGGAATTACGGACGAGATCGAGATACAAACGAGGGATACGGCAATAGGAGAGAACGGTGTTTGACACTGTAGTGCTACTATCCTACAACGAATCTTGCAAAAGTTGCAACAAACCTTCCCGCTGCTACTGGGGTAATGCAAAAAGGCATGCAGGAATTATGATGTTCCGCTGGAACTCCATGGACGCAACCCGGAAGACACGGAAAAATATGATGCAAGAGAATAGGAAGCAGCAGCCAAATTGAGGCAGAAAAGATGAACTGATAAGAAGGAAGCAACTGCGAAAAAGGGCAAAAAACTAACAATTGAAAGTGATAGGTAATCGACCACAAGGTAACTGAGAAAGATCCAGAACAGCAAACACATTCACCCTAACGTGAAATAATTAGCCATTCTAAAGTGATTACATGTCGGTTGCAATTGCAGTCGTTCCGCCCGTGTAACGCTAAATGAAAGGGTCAACAGAAAAGATTAATTAAAATTACTCTCATAAGTGAACAGAACGCTCCGTTAATAAGTGGAGAACCGGAATGTTTTTTCGTGGACCGTTAAGTCTCGGTATATTAACAAGGACAAAGAAAATTCGCTTGGGCTGATATTAATAAATTGGGCCAGGTTTACTCATGCTCCATAAACCCAAATTTCACGCGAGACATGTTTACAAGTTCTTTAGATGTCATTGTAAAATCTACTTGACACATGTCTATTTCCTATTTTATCGGGACCGTAGCAGTTGAAACCTAAAGTTCTAGAACTACGGGCAGAGGAGGGGAAAATGTATGGAAGCAAGTCACTGCAAAAGAGCCTAGTATTTGAAAATGTTGTTCTAGAACCGATCTTCCAAAATGCAAGGAGGGGAGTCTTATTTAGATCTTACCACTGTAAGCTCAAGTTTACCTAAAATAGTTACTGAGTGGCTGGTGCCTTCAAGTGGAGAAAATTTTAATGATCGAAATTGCGTAGTTTGTTTTAGAAAAAGAACTGCCATAGACAGAGTCCCACAGAAAATAATTTAGATTAACGAACAGAGAAGCCTTTAAGGAGGTGCGTATGATTTTTTCAACCTCTTTATATAAAGAGTTATGGCGCAATACGTACTCACAGAAATGGAAAAGAACCACGGAGAAGCCTCCGTGAAGACCTCTTGTTGGCCGGTACCCTTGTTACATATTCCAAAAGCCGGTAAAGCTGAAATACCGATGGAATACAACCATTTCTGGTAATAAAAGAATATACCTATAGGCTTGCAAAAAGAGATACATTAATGATGCCCGTGTTTATAATGACGTATCAAAAACGACAAGCCACTTTAAGACTTTCTATCGTTTACGGTAAGATGAAATTCTGAAGGCAGCTATTCTCAGCAAAATGACAGAAGATTTCGTAGTTGACATTCCTGAGTAGGAGGAAACCCATATTCAGCGCAAATGTTTCCTCATCATAAGGAATAAGGGGCATATGAATAGACAAACTCAATTTCGGAAGACACGCCACCTATCGTAACCAACAGGGTAAAAAGTCCTGCCAGCCTGTGGGAAGAGTGCACGGCTCAAAAGCAATTGGCCCAGAAACAGTTTGGCTCGAATGTAGTTAAAAGACTCGAACGAAATTGGAAAAGTACTTAAAGAAGGAAAGCTACTTACGCCAAAAAAAAGCGTAAGCGGTGGTGATACTGAATATCAACGTGGCGTTACCGTTTTTTATTAGGTACTCTAGATGTATTTTTTAAATTGGTACAAACTCCTCCGTTTAGTTTGAACAATTGCTAAAGGTTTTGAGGTAGTTATATTAGACAGCCTTTTAAAGTTCACCGAGGAGTTTGGTATACTTTCTAACCTAGATGCGTTTCTAATGATGTT